TGCCGGCCAGGATCCGGACATTGCTGCTAGCATGCTGCAGCATGAAGTAAACACTAAACACTAACTGCCACATCACTAAGGCTTATTTTTTATAGATTTAACTTTAACTTTGTTTCAGCTCACAAGGAATATCTATAAAGAAGTAATGTCAACAGTATACAAGAAATTAAAACTTGTTGACATTGAATTGATGGCTGCGGCTGCAACACCCTCAAAGTCCCCCGATAGAGCACAGCAGGAAGAAGCTGAGGAGGAACAAAATCAAACCCAGGGGGCACCTGTTGCTGCATCCCCGGCATCTCAGCAACAAGCTGGGGAACCTACTGCTGCATCCCCGGCATCTCAGCAATAAGCTGACGAGCTGGAGAAAACCAAAAGGGCACCTCAGAAAGAAAAACAACCTGAGGAAGTCCCTGTTGGTAAAGTAGATGAGGATGTTCCTCCCTGCCAAACAAGAACATATGCTAGGAAAAAACCATCGGCGGCCTCGTCTAAAAACCAAAATAACTTTGCCCTTAATGCCCTGTTTTCATATTGCGCCCGCAAATCACCGTCTGATGAAGACATGTATCTTAAAATTAATTTGCTAGTTCAATCTAATTTATATATTTCTATGACAATATGATTCACATACATTCTGTTTATATGAAAGGGTGCTTGTTAGTATGCTCGGAGTCTACTTGTCACAATCAGACCTGCACACTCTCTACAATAGATAGTGGGTATCCAATATAGTATGTATTACTTACTTTTCATAGCATTATTTAATATTCAGTTCCATTGTTTAATGTTGAGCTACCCAAATTAGGTTGTCATATTTACTGCAACACTATGGAATCACCAACAATTAGAACAAAATGGTGTTGTAACTTGACATTTTCTTAAACCCCTCTTTATGGCGAGAATTTTTATACTTTACTTGTAGTCAGTAGTTTCAATATAATCTAATGAGTGGATAACAATTTTTTTTCCATGTAGGATAATGTAATTGTACATTTCGAGAGAGACTATGAAGACACCACTTTTGTAGAAAGTGTCTTCAATCAAATTGTAATAGGATATGACATCTTCAGTTGCAATTGGGTAAGTTTAATTATGGTTGTTATAATATACGCTTACTTACAAGTATATTACTGTTTAGTTACTTTCATATCTCTGTACAGTTACTGAAATTTTATAATTATTCTAGGTTTTTGCTCCTTGCCTCTACAAGGAGCATTGGAGCTGTTACGCGCTGTCCCCTGCAAGCAGAACACTATATGTGTTAAATTCCATGAAGATGAATGAAGCAAGCCCAAAGCATCAACTTGACCAGTTCACGGTATCATGTCATTAGCACCATATTCATAGATTTCACTACACTATCTTCTCCACCATCCGAATGATATGTATGTCTCTTTTTGCCTAGGTGATGAAATTTCACGAGCTCCTGCAAGAATTTGGCCACAGATCCCCAGAAGACAACCAAGTCAACCTAGAATATGTCAATCTCCCTCTGCAATCAAACAGGTGAGCATAGAATTAAATTAATTGGAACATATAATGTCTCACCATATTTTTCATGTTTAATATGTGGATGCAGTTCTGATTGCAGGGTGTATGTACTGAGATACATGCAGACTTGGGGTAATGCACCCATGCCTAAGTATTCTCCCGTAAGTGACTGATCACAACAACACTACTATGATGATTTGCCCAAGATAGTGCATTCAATTTTAATATGATACGTTTCTATAGGCTATGGTACGAGAGTTCAAAAAATAATATGTATATGATTGGGTGACACACCCCAGAAATGAATACCGGGAGAAAGTACTCAAGGATGCTGGGGTCTAGGACAAACTGGGTTGAGTTGAGCTTCACATGGCCCATCATGGGAAAATAAGAGACTATAACAGTTTCTGGTGGACATGCAACAAGAAGAACTTTTAATGCCTTGCAATTCTTTTGTGTAATTACTCATATGACATAGATGAATGAAAACAATTACTGATTACTGGTTAAGTTTATACATACTTTATAGATCCAGGAAAACAATTGTACAGATATTCTTTATTGGTTATTGTATAAATCTATATTTCTCGCATACTTTTTCAAGCATTATTGAATACATTGAGAGAGTTATGCTTTGAACTGAATGGAGATGTGCGTGTAATGGAATGGATCTCTACTTGTAACTATACAAGTCTGTGGTTGTAACAGAATATCATATTTTCACTTCCGATAAATTTGCTGAACAGCCCTTGTATGTTGCTTGTAAGTAAACATGGCTATGCTTTTAACTGAACGTGTCTTTGCTTCTAACTGTACTAGTATCTATTTGTAACTAAATGAGTCTTTGCTTGTACGTATGAAGGTTTCTGTTTGAAACTATACAACCTCTGCTTGTAACTGAACGGGCCTTTGCTTGTAACTATACAAGTCTCTGCTTGTAACTGAACAAGTATTGCTTGTAATTGTAAAAAACTCTATTTGCAACTATATAGACATCTACCCATAACTGAATGAGTTTAGCTTGTAACTGTACTGGTCTCTGCCTGTAACTAAATGAGTCTTTGCTTGTAACTATGAAGGCTACTATTTGAAACTATACAACCTCTACTTGTAACTGAACGGGTCTTTGCTTGTAACTATACAGGTCTCTACATGTAACTGAACGAGTATTGCTTGTAACTGTAAAAAATTTTGCTTGCAACTATACAGGTCTCTGCTCATAACTGAACAAGTTTGGTTTGTAATTGTACTGTTCTCTGCTTCTAACTGAATGAGTCTTTACTTGTAACTATGAATGTTTCTATTTGAAACTATACAACCTCTGCTTGTAACTGAACGGGTCTTTGCTTGTAACTACATAGGTCTCTGCTTGTAACTGAACGAGTATTGCTTGTAACTGTTAAAAATTTTACTTGCAACTATACAAGTATCTACCCGTAACTGAACAAGTTTGGCTTGTAACTGTACTGGTATCTGCCTGTAACTGAATGAGTCTTTGCTTGTAACTATGATGGTTCCTGTTTGAAACTATACAACCTCTGCTTGTAACTGAATGAGTCTTTGCTTGTAACCATTCAAGTCTCTACTTGTAACTGAACGAGTATTGCTTGCAACTGTAAAAAATTCTGCTTGCAACTATACATGTCTCTACCCGTAACTGAACGAGTTTGGCTTGTAACTGTACTGGTATCTACCTGTAACTTAATGAGTCTTTGCTTGTAACTATGACGGTTCCTATTTGAAACTATACAACTTCTACTTGTAACTGAATGGGTCTTTGCTTGTAATTATACAAGTCTCTGCTTGTAACTGAACAAGTATTGCTTGTAACTGTAAAAAAACTTTGCTTGCAATTATAAAGGTCTCTACTCGTAACTGAACGAGTTTTGCTTATAACTGTACTGGTCTCTACCTGTAACTGAATGAGTCTTTGCTTGTAACTCTGAAGATTCCTGTTTGAAACTATACAACTTCTGCTTGTGACTGAACGGGACTCTGCTTGTAACTGAACAAGTATTGCTTGTAACTGTAAAAAACTCTACTTGCAACTATTCAGTTATCTGCCCGTAACTGAACGAGTTTTGCTTGTAACTGTACTGGTATTTGCCTGTAATTGAACGAGTCTTTGCTTGTAACTATGAAGGTTCCTGTTTGAAACTATACAACCTCTACTTATTACTGAAAGGCTCTTTGCTTGTAAGTATATAGGTCTCTACTTGTAACTGAACAAGTATTCTTGTAACTATAAAAAACTCTGCTTGCAACTATATAGGTTTTTGCCCATAACTGAACGAGTTTTGTTTGTAACTATATAGGTCTCTGCTTGTAACTGAACAAGTGTATGCTTGTAACTGTAAAAAACTCTTCTTGCAACTATACAGACTCTGCCCATAATTGAACGAGTTTTGCATGTAACTGTACTGGTCTCTGCTTATAACCGAGTGAGTATATATGCTTATAACTATAAAGGTTTCTGCTTGCAACTCTATACATTCCTACGTGTTATGAAACAACAATTTGCTTGTAATCTAATAAGTCTGTTTTTGTAACTCAATGAAACTCTGCTCATAATTGAACTAGTCAACCACTTAATTCCATAAATGGAGGTATGCTTGTAACTGAACAGATATATGCTCATAACTAGATTTTTCCCAGTTGGTGAGCTAAATATTTAATTACAAACAAAATTTATTACTGACCAAATTGTAACCGATAAAGGGGTCACAAATTAGTGACCGTAGTAAAAGGATCATTTCCTTTAAGTAGTGACCCTATAGTAACTGCCTAAAGGAGGTCATTAATTAATGACCCTTTTTTGTAACCGCCAAATTCAAGGTCAGTAGTTAGTGACTCATTTGTAATCGTCGTAATGGGGGTCACTAATCAGTGACCGACAATAAAGGCCCACCCCCCAAATTTGTGACCCTCTTTGTGACCCACCATGAGAGGGTCACTAATTAGTGACTCATTTTGTAACCGCCTCATATTCGGTCACTAATTACTGACCCTTTTGTAACTTATCGCGTAACAGTAGCTAATTTTGTGACTAATTTTTGACCATAGTGACTGCGGTCACAAATCGGTTACTATTTTTTCCCAATTAACTTAGCCTTAGTCGGTCACTACTAGGTCACTAATCGGTCACTAATTAGTGAGCCATTAATGCGGTCACTAATTTGCGGTTACTAATAGCGTTTTTACTGGTAGTGTTTCATATCCCACTTTTTCAAAAATTAATTTCAGCCCCAACACTCTACAGAATTTGCAAAATGACCCCAATCAGTTTTAGCTTCATTTAATAGGTCCCTAACTGAGACTTCTTTCCAAATAAGTTCTTCGGGTTTCAGTTTCACTTTATATTCTCGATTAATTGTCATTTTCCAATTGAACTCTCCCATAGTTGCACTTCCATTAACTGATATTTCTTTCAATTTGGTTGCACTTACACTTCAACTAACCATTGTTTCTTAATTAAATTTTAATCCAAGTTTGATTTCATTAATTAAATGTTAATCGTACATTTTTCAGACCCTAATCATACCTTAATTTGAGCTCATTTGTTAAAGCAATGTCTATTTATTCAATTAGAATGGCTTGTAATTTCTTGGTGAGTGACTAACAATCCACCTTCTTAGTATGACAATTACTTAAAATAAATTTTTAAATTTTGCTAAAAAATTTATATTTAGCTTTATGTTTCTATATTTTTCTTTAATTTTGTGGATATTTTAAATTAAAATATACTATAAAATTATTTAAAAAAGAAAATTTGATTAAAATTATTGAAAAGAGAGAATCATGATGTAAAAAAATATGAAAATATTTGATATTAACATGCAATATGTAGAATCAGATGAGGAAGTATTTCAGAATTGAAATTGAACTTGTGTTCCTTTCTCCCCTCATTTTTTGTTTTCCCTCCTTGTTGCTCTCTCTCTCTCTCTCTCTCTACCGAAATGGGAATCTTTTTTGTCCAAAATTTCATTTCCCTCTTTGGTTTTCCCCTTCTCTCTTTTTCACTATAAGAAAATCAACGATTAATCATAATTTTTAAATCACGATTATAATAACCACGGTAAATCCAATTTAAAAAATAAAATTTTTCATGCATAGAAGTCTGTGACTTTGACACCATGGCCAAATATTTTTGGACAACGCCACAATTTTTTTATTTTTTTTTATCTCCCTCCAATTTAAGCATTAAAATTTAATTATAAAAATATAATTCCATTATGTTTCGAATAATTTTACATTGCAGTGATAGTTTTGACAATTCTTTATTTTATGAGTTACAATTCTTTTTTTATGAGTTGTTGTTTATCTTGATAAAATTTACACAAAATTATTTATTTAAAATAATACGTTTAATTCAATTATAAATTTAAATTTTTATGATTATTTAAATATTAATAAAATAGAATTTAAAATTATTTATTAATTTTAATTTTACAGTACAAATAATCTTTACATAAACACATATTTATAAGGATAGGTTTGAGATCATTTTAATCACTCGATGTCTTCCCGCTCTAGAATGAAAGAAACCTCACCGATCCAACAAATGAGAATACCATCCTGTGGTTCCTCTTGTCCAGAAATGGCTCAAAATTGGTCTCTACTCATTGTTTGTACTTTCCGGCGGATCAGTTGCCACACTCTTGAGTTTGCACTTTGAGAAAGGCGGCAAGAGCAAATGGCTAGCTTCCCTTGTTCAATTTGTGGGCTTTGTGATCCTCCTCCCCTTTCTTCTCATCTCACCCAAAAGACCTTTGACAGAAGAAGGATACCAACGTCCAAACAAGCCCTCTGCTCTTCTTCTTACATCCATCTATCTCGCATTTGGAGTGTTCCAAGCAGGAGGTGGCTTGTTGTCTATAGTGGGAGTCAAATACCTTCCTGCCTCCACATATTCCCTCGTCTCCACAAGCCAATTGGCCTTCACCGCCCTCTTCTCTTTCTTCATCAACGCACAGAAGCTCACTCCTTTCAAAATCAATTCTCTGGTTGTCCTCCCTATCTCCTCCGTTCTCCTTGTTGTCAACACCAGCTCTTCAGGATCTTCAGTCCCCAAAGGAAAGTACACACTCGGTTTCTTGTGCACTGTCGCAGCATCAGCAAGTGCTGCCTTGGCGGTCACTTTGGCACAGCTATTCTACCGAAAGGTGCTAAAAAAAGCTACATTTGAAGTAATAATTAAATTGATAATCCCCCAGTCGCTAGAAGCAAGCTGTGCCATGGTGTTAGGGCTTTTCGCAAGCGGGGAATGGAAGGGGCTGAGGAAGGAGATGGATGACTATGAGTCGGGAAAAGTGTCATACGTAATGACACTAGTGTGGACAGCCATTGTTGGCAGCTCACTTCGTTTGGGGCCGTAGGCCTAATCTTCAATGTGTCCTCCCTCTTCAGCAATGCGATTGGTACTCTAACCCTACCCATAGTCCCTGTAGGTGCTGCTATTTTCTTGCATGACAAGATGAATGGAATTAAGGTGATGTCCCTGCTTCTGGCCATCTGGGGTTTTGTTTCGTATATGTACCAACATTACCTAGGATTTCAAGAGCGGAATGAAACAGCTTCTGTACGTAGCTCCTGAGGATTCCTCCAATGAGAGCTGCTAGCCAGCCAGTCATAGTTCTTTTCTGCGGCTACCTCTAAGCCTAGTAGATATTATTTCATTTATATATAAAAAAAAATATAAAGTTGTGATGTTCATGCTCTGTGATACTGCATTGCCCCAAGCTTATCCTGCCATAGTTATTTCCATTGTTTTGCAATAGAAACATCTTATGTATAAGCAAATAGAGTTCGTTGATGCAACACAATCAAGAAAACATAAGCAAACCCATTATGACTTCGAAGCCAAAAATCTCCAAAGGTGACCAAGCATTTTGATAATTACTTCGACAACTTTTTCCGTTTCTTATTCCTTTTTCTTTATTTTTCTCGTTAGTATTTAAAAAAGAAACAAGTTTAGGTCCAAATACAAACAGTCTAAAGAATTTGGTCTCTTAAGCAAAAGCTAGAGTATAATATTTAATAGAACAAAAAATCATTTTATCCCCCTTAACTTCTTTTTCTGTCTTGTTTACCCCTGAATTATATAATACATCATTTAGCCACCTAGATACTAACTTCATTAACCTGTTATGATGTTCACCTCTTGAATTTTCAAATCTTAAATATGGAATTTTTAAATATTATTATTAAAATACTTAATTGTTAAAATTTTAAAAATTTAATTTAATATGTTGTAATTAATAATAAATATTATTAAATGTATTTAGTTTTAAACATTAAATTAAAATATGGCTAAATTTTACAAAATTAATTAAGATTATTTGTAAAACTTAACTAAATAAAAACTTGCTAGTTATGAATAAATAATTTGAATTTAATAAAAAATATTCACGGATCATTTTTAATCCTGACCATTTGAATTTTTTATTTGTTACATAATATAATAAAAAAATTTAAATTTGGTCATGCATATATAAGAATAAATACTACAATTAGAAAATGTTAAAATTGTTGTTATTGTAATTTGAATGATGAATAGGATTGATGCAAAACGTGAATAGCATTATTTTACCCTTTTATTTTTTGATATAATATTTTTTAATGGCAGATTAATGATAATAGTATATAAGGGCATAAATATTATGTATTGCATAGTTCAGGGATAAATAAAATATAGAAGAAAGTTCAAATTAGTAAAATGATTTGTGCTTTATTTAATGAGAAGGGAAACTAAGATGGAAGAACTTTAAAACCACTAAAAGTATAAAAGGCTTAAAATGTTTTACACTATGCTGCTTCAGAAAAATTCCATCAAATTGAAAAATGTCCTTGGATGGTGTTTTATTGGTTTTGGTTGGCTTACTGTGCTTTTCTCTAAATTTCTACTTGTCTACAATTAAACTTTTTTCTCTAAGTTTTCACTTTGAACCAGAATAAAATTAATATTGGATATTTTAATGTTCATGGGAGTGCATCATCTTGTGCAATTTTTGAACACAAATGCACATACCGTGACAAGTAATAATGGATAAAATACGATTCTCACAATATATAATCTCTAAATAACTTGTTAAATATTAAAATTAGAACAACTTAATGTTATTTGGATAAATCCTAAATTGTGAATGAGAAATTAATCAATAAACTAAAATATAATTAATTTGACACATACAACTAAAGATGAGATAACATTAATGAAATGAAAATTAGGGTTTCAACTGCCCTTAACATTCAATTAGATTTTAAATAAAAAATCCTGATTTCAAATAAGTTGAAATATTAATAAGAAGAGCTAAATTATTTATATTTTTCTTTCAAAATTAATATAAACACAAATAATTAAAAAAATTATTATATTTCTTTGAAAATCAACTATACCTTGATAAATTAATTCTAAATTGCAAATTAGAAATTAACCGATCAATTAAAATCTAATTAAATGAAAGTTAACTTTACACATAGAACTAGAGATGAGATAACATCATATGTAAAAGAAAATTAGGATTCCAATGTCCCTTAACATTCAATTGAATTTTAAACTAATCTCTCTCCATTTCAAATAAGTTGAAACATTTTGTCATGCCCCGACTCTGGACCTATGATTGTCACTAGGGTCCACCGACCCTAGTAAGTCTCAACAAACTAGACTAAACCCAAAAGTACAATACACCAAAAATAACAACATAACAATAACAGAATCTTGTCTGAGAGTACAATAAACCTACTCTAGAATATAATAAAGAACAGATACAAAAATTAGTGCCCGTACATCTATCAAATTTGCAGACGACCGCTCTGACCCTAGCACATTACCCGAGAACAGCAGCCCAAATTTGAAGAGTTTAAAAACTATGAGTCACGAAATTCAGTGGATACAGATGATACCTAATTTATACATGTTGAGAAATACATCACCCCACAAGTACAAAATTATACATATACAGTGATTAGTAAAACATATCAAACATACGCTTAAGGGCACCGCCAACCAAACATCAAATCAAATCACTGGACCCAAGCCTACTTACCACTAAATGCTATGGATCACCATACTCTAGTTGAGTTCTTGACATCGCAATCATCTCACACAACCCAGGCCAACTCACCACAATACGCTACGGATCACCGTACTCTAACTGAGTTCTTGCCATCCCCAAATCATATCATGGACTCAGGTCGACTCACTACTGGACATTACGGATCACCGTACTCTAACTGAGTTTTTGCCATCCCCAAATCACATCACATCACACGATACCACCCTCACATACAAGCCAAAAATATGTATATATACACATATACAGTTTACATCTCAAAAACCAATATCGCCTACCAATATAGATCACTGACAGTTCATAAAACACATAACACATATCCCAAGTATAACATATAATCAAAATACAATTTTCAAATCACATAATTATCATGTCAAAAAATTACAGTATGAAAACACAAGTATAAAGAAAGTATCATCACACGTAGTACAGAAACCAAGCCAATCAAGAAATCCCGACCACCTTCACCCGACTCATTGTTCTAAGTACAGCTCCCCAAGCGTATTTGTAACCAAAACCATACAAAACCATCACCATCACCAAGACCAACACAAGAAACTAGCTCGACAACCCAAAACGGGCTTAACTCCCATCCCAACATCATGGCACGCATCCCAAGGCACCACTACTCGTCATCGAGACCCACGCGACTCACAACTTTCAACACTTCGGCTCAACAACCCTCAACAATATAGAAATAATCTCTAAAATCCTCAAATCATAGTGAACCAGCCTCCAAAACCCTTAAACCGGCCTAACCCAGCCTAAAACTACCTCAAGCTCAACTAGATTGGACACGAAACCTTCAAAAATGGATTCAAAAGGCCCAAAAACCCTATGAACTGATCTAACCCTGCTAAGAAGACCTTGAATCAGCCTTGAACCAGACCAAAAATCCTAACCCTAAGCACCGACACACAAACGGAGCCCGATTCACCTTGAACCGACATCCAAAAATCACTAAACTGCACAGTTAACTAGGTTTCATCATGTTGAACTAGGAACCAATTCAACCTCCCCAAGAACTAGTCTAAAAATAATGAACTAGTCACCCAAAGGGCACTACATTGAACCGGCCACCCAAAATTTCTTGAACTCACTTGGTTTAATAGATCTTGTCCCCCTAAACCAAGAATCGGTCCAGCCCCCTAGAGAACCGGCCTAAAAAGCCCTGAACTGGTCGGTCCAACACTAAATCACCTCTGGCCGGTTCAGTCAACTCAAAACCCTAATCCTAATATTAAATTAATAAATCTCGGAATATCTAATTCCTGCTATCCCTAAACAATCCTTATCCTTGGTTTACATTATCCCTGAGATAACATATCCCCAATTGACCACTAGGTTGACTCACGGGTCAACCTAGTTGATTACTCAGTGGGTTGAGTCAACTCACGAGTTGACTCAGCCCTAAACCAACTCAGCGGGCCGTCCCACAGGCCACGGCCCAACAAGCTGACCCGACCTAGCCGGGCCTACCTGGCCCAAGGCAGGGACCCAGACCCTTTCTGGGTCCTGTCTTCTTCACCCAAGGACCTGGGCGTCCAACCCGGTTGTAGGCCGACTCCTGCAACCAAAAAACCAAAAAAAGAAACCCAAAATTTGAACAGAAACCAGAAAATACCTAGATAAAATCAAAGCAAAACTCTCCCCTGCACTCGATCGATCCCAAAGAAGCTTCTAATAGGAAGAAAAGCAGATTGAATCACCCAGAAAAAGCCCCGGAACCCCGTCGGCAACCCACGAACTCCTTTGAATGAAAAATCTCCAAAATCCTCCACATCCTCACTCGGAAACCCAAAATCAATTGAAGGCTTTGCTTCCTTAGACAAAAATGAGCTTCCTTGCTCAATTTAATCGTCCCAACCACCTTCAATCATCACGATATGGGCAAATTTCCGTTCGGCCTACTGTTCCTGACAAAACTTCTGTCAAACTACAGTTTAGTCCTCCCAACCCTGTTTCCTCTCAATTAGGTCCTTGGGAATATTTTCAATTAGCCCCACTGAAAAGTAATTCTTTCAAACAAGCCCATAAGTCCTAAAATCTTAAAATATGGGTCATTACACATTTAAACAAAACTACTTAATATATGTATGAGAAAATCAACTTTAACTAGATTTATTAATCCTAAATTGCAAATTAGAAATTGAACAATAAATTAAAATTTAAGTAAATGAAATTTAACTTGACACATAGAACTAGAGATGAGATAATATCAATGAAAGGAAAATCAGAATTCCAACTTCCCTTGACATTCGATTGAATTTTAAACTAACTTATCTTAATTTCAACTAAGTTGAAATATTGAACTGGAGAATTAAATTATTTATATTTTTCTTTCAAAATAATATAAAAACACCTAATTAAGAAAAAATTTACTATATTTCTATAAAAATCAACTTGAATTAGATTTATTAAGTAAAGACACAATCTTAACTATTAGGGTGAATATGTTTATTTTTATTCTACATGCAAATCAGTTTATTCATTCACGCAAATAATTTATTCCGAGGCAAGCCGTTAAATGGCTTAAGTCAATGAGA